GTCGGTGGCCAGCGCAGTCGAACGCCAGCGGGCTGACCAACGTATGTTCAGCAGCGGCAGAAGACACCTGATGGACCGGAACTCGCGTCGAACAGCGGGCCGAAGCTCCGCGACCTTGGGGCCGTTTTCGTCGCGAAAGCCTAACGGACATATAGTGTGCTGTACATCTCCCGTCCGATGAGCCCCGCCCCATTCGCGTGCCCCAGGAGGGCCCGCAGAAGGTGTCCACCACGGCGTCGCCGTCGTAAAACCGCCTCGACAGCGAAGCGACAGCGCCGCGGGTTGCGGTGCTTAATCGAGAGCCTGTCTCTTCCAGTGAGCTGGGGGCTGGGAAGACTTAATCGTGGGCGCCCCCCTCCAACTCGCGAAGCGTGAGACCTTCCTGTGCCGAAGCCTGTCGAATGTCCCTGGGGGGCTGATCGGTCCGTGGTTTGCCCGCCCCAATGGTCAAAACGTTGTCGACGTGCCCAGCGACCGCAACCTTCTCGCCCTCGGTCACCGCCGACGGGAGACCATCCGAGACCGTTGGATAGGTAGGGATATTAACGGAAGCGGTAGCATGTCGAACCACGCTCTCACACATAAGTAAAGACCAATACCATCCCATGGGAAGTGCGCGCAATTGGGGGGCAATCGTCAAATTGGGGTGGAGGTTCTGCCCGTTCAAAAACAATGATACCAAATGACGGGCGGCCAACTGCGGCAACCTGAAATGGAATCGCAAGAGGGATGGCGACCCCATCCTGTAGAAAGCAGCATTGATGTCGCCTGTCGCCACAAAAGCTGTCCCGTCGGCATCCACTTGACTGAGAGACGATGCTGTCGGTAGCCCGGTGGATAGTGGGTCCCTGAAAGAATAATTACAGACGCGGGTGTCGAACATAACGCGGAACCTCCCATCCTTCGTGGCCGCGAAAAATACTCCAAGTGCGTGGGGCGCTCCCGGGGCCGCAGTCCAATCGAGCATCCCGCGATCGAAGAGTAGGGCAAGGAAATCGGAGTAGGCCTTTTTTATGAAAAAGAAAGGGGTTGATGTGAGGTTCACTCGGGCCCAGTTCCTGATGCAGAGTTTTGGCGTCATTAACATCCCTCAGCGAATTGTCCTGATAATCGCACGACCAAGTAGCATCCCCAGGTGGCAGCATCGTCGTCGCACAGGCCGCCGCGGCCTGGTCGGGGGGTGCGAGCGAGCGCTGGTTGCGCGGTCTTCGGGTGGACCCAGACCGGTCATCATGAAGACTTGAGGGGGCGCAGATCTCGCGCCGAGATCCCGCGCCAGTAGCCAAGTCCGATGGGGCAGCTGAAATAGCAGAATAGGATTCGCGAGTGTGCTTCAATGCGTTTCGTCAGCGTTCTCGGGCCCACTTGAAGTCCCTCGAGGCTCCTCCCCAGACGACAGGTTAAGACAAGAGATCCCGTCGTTGGCCCATTCACGATAGTGCTGAACCCTTCGGCGCCTCCGCTGCGCACTGCGACGCGGGTGTTAAACTGACTGCTGCTGCCCAACCTCCTCTGGCAAAAAAAAGCAAGGGGAAAATGTCCCACTCGCGTGCGTCTGGAGCGCGCTTGCCCGCGGGGCTCGACAGGCCAGGCGGCGGCGGCGCGCGCTGCGAATGGGCGGCACGCGCTGCGAATGAGAGGGGGCGGCCTCCTGAGAGAGGCCAGACGGAGGAGAGATATGAACGAGAGTGGCAGGCGACACGATGGCTTAGCCTGGAGATCTGGCCTCCAATCCGAGAGGCGACGGTCGGCCGAACTCCGAGACCCGCGATGGATCAGCCATCGTCTTTGCCATCCTTCTTGGACTTGTTCTTGTTCTGTTCAGCGCTCTGCCTCTCTTCGCGGGATTTGCGGCGGTCCTTCGTGACGGGCGCTTCCTTCTGTAATTCGGCCGACGCCCGCGTTTTCAGAGCCGGGCGCGCTGCCGCGCTCCCGCGCGCATGGTCGAGCCCCATGCGCAAGGAAGCATCCTGAGTGGTGTCGCCGCTGCCGCCCGCGAAACTCGGCATCCTGTCGCGGCAGCGCTCCTCTGAGGGCTGGATCGCCCGCGCCCTGATCTCTGCGCCCGCGATATCGGGAATAGTAAGTTCATCGAAGGTCGCCATGCTGTCTAGCATATGGCAGCACATGAGCTGATTATCGCCGCCGCCGCCGTCGTTGTTCTGAAGCTTGGCGTCTGCCTTCCACCGAGCATGCCTCCCGAGCGGGGTCTGGCCGGTGGGCGCCATGAACCTGCGCAGCCACAAAGTAGTCCTCGACCCTCTTACGGGGAGATCGTTCATCGGAGTCTCAATCATCCCTTCGACGGCCCTGGAGCGAGAGCCCGAGGCACCATGGCCAACAGGCTGGATGCGGATGTCCAAGGTCGGGACGGGGGCGCCCCCAGGCGCGGCTGCGGCAGGAACAGCTCCAGCGGGCACCAGCGCACCACTGGGCCCCGCGGGCAGAGGTGCCAACGCAGGCGCGCCTGCGGCCGCCGCCCCGGCAACCTGCGGGAAGCCGCCCGCGGCACCTGCGCCAGGTAGAACCACTCCTCCTGCGGCTGGCCCGGTAGCGACTGGAGCTCCAGGCGCAAGGCCGAGGACAGCGGCCAGCCCGCCAACTCCAGCGCCGACGGCGGGAAGACCAGGTCCGGCAACGCCCGCGGGGGCGGCGGGAACGGCGCCAGCGCCTGCGGCGATCGCGCGCCCCGCCAAGTTGGGCTGCTTGCCGTCGCCAGGCACGGGGGGCCCCCTCCTCGCCGCCGCGGCCGCGCGAGCGGCCTGGAAAACCGCGGGCGTGGGCACGTGCTGGAAGCGGTAGACAGGCACCGCGAGCCCTCCGGCGCCTGGCGGCGCAACGCCGCCGCAAGCCCCTCCAGCCATCACTCCGTGCCATGCGATGTCCGGCTCCTGCGTCCAATCCGCCTCGTAGTTGTCGCCGTCTGGCGTCCGCGCTCACGGCAGTGCCAGCGCCTGGCTCGATGAGAACAAACCGTTCGTGATGCAAGGGAGCGCCCAGCACGTTATACTGAACAACTCCGGAATTCCCAACCTCGAGCCCGAGGCCATGCACGGGCGGTGGAGCCACCGCCGCCATGACTTCACGCGCGACTGCGCCGCTGGCGGAGCAAGCTCAGCTGCTCCTGGGCAAGGTTGCCGAGCTCGGCCTCCTCGTCCTGATTCGGCTTGACGTTCTCTGCCAGCAAACCCGCGAAGGCCATGAGCAGGCGCAGGTCGGGAAGCGCCGCGGGCCCGCCGCTGGCTGGCGGCGAGGCAGACAGCGCGGGGGCGCCGGGGCAAGCGGGGCAGGCTGGCAGCGCCAGTATCGCAGGGCACTGCGGACAACTGGGGCAGGGAGGAGCCTTGGGGCAGGAGGCGAAATACATGAGTGAAGCCTCCCGCGCCCAAGCGACAGCCTGATGCCACATCCGAGGACGTCTGGACGACTTCGGAAAAAGCATGAGCCACAACATTGTGCGGCCCCGCTCTTTCTGTCTCCCACTTCCTGCATTCATCCAAACAACACCATGACCATTATCTCCATGATCGGCATCATCCTCAACATCATCACCATCAGCACCATCACCATCACCACCATCACCGTCACCACAATGATCACCACAGTCAGCACCAGCACCATCACCTAATCCCGATCGCCAGTACCATCACCATCATTATCGCCATTACCGCCAGCACACTTACAATTATCATCACCACCACCATCACCACCATCAGCATCATCACCACCATCACCATCACCACAATTACCAACAACACCACTACCATCACCATTACCGTCACCATCATCACCATCAGAATCACCATCATCTTCATCATCAGCATCATCATCACCACTATCATCACCACCACCTCCATTACCATCATAATCATCACCATCATCATCACCATCGTCACCATTATCACCATCATCATCACCTGGTCATGATCTCCATTACCATCACCATCACAGTCATCATCATCACCATCATCACCGCCACCATCACCACCATCACCACCATTTACATCACCACCATCACTATTACCATCGCCATCACCATCATCACCAACACCATCACCACTGACCATCACCATTACCGTCAAACTCACCATCGCTTCCACCGATTTCATCATCACCACCATCACAAACATCACCACACTCACCATCACCATCACCACCACCACTATCGCCATCATACCCATCGCCATCACCATAGCCAGGATGGCCAATCTAATCATCATCACCATCACCACTGCAATCATCATCATCATCATCATCACCACCATCACCGCCATCACCGTCGCCGTCGCCATCACCAGCATTACCATCATCACAACCATCACAATTATCGTGATCATCAGCATCATCGTCATTTCATAATTTCCAGCATCAATATCACAATCACCAACACCATCACGTTCTCCATCAGCATCATCATCGTCACCATCACCACCACAACCATCACCATCACCATCATCATCATCGTCATCCTCGTCACCATCACCATCACCATCACGATAGTTACGATTGCAATCATCATCGTCACCATCATCATCACCGTCACCACCATCACCATCATCACCATCACCATCATCACCATAACCAACATCCTCAACGCCATCACCGCCATCATCACCACTATCACCATCAACATCACGATCACCGTGACCAATATTTTCGTCATCAACATCATTAACATGAACATTAGCGTCATGATCATCACCATCATCATCACGCCATCATCATCACCACCAACATCGCCATCATCATCACCATAGTCACGACCGTCATTACCATGACCATTACCATCACCATCATCAACCTCATAATCATCATCATCACCACAACTATCACCACTATCACCATCACCATCACCATCACCATCACCATCACCATCACCACCATCACAATCGCCATCACCATAGTCACGATCGCCATTGCCATCACCATCCCCATCACCACCACCATCACCATCATCATCATCACCACCATCATCACCATGCGTTGTGCCACAGGCCTACCTCCGCCAGCCCCGCGGCACCCGCGCGGGCGGCCTCCAGCCCGACTAGGGCCGCGTCCTCGAGGCCCGCCCGCGAAGCGTCCAGCACCCGCAGCGTGCCGAGGCCGCCCGCGACCCAGTCCAGGGCCGCCAGCGCGCGGCGCTCGGCGGGCCCCTCCGCAGGGGAATGTTCGACTCGATCCCTAGCCAGGGGGCTGGAGAGCGCTTGCCGCCGAAGCCACGCACACCCAGCTTGGAGAATCTGGGGCGAGCCCACGTTCTGCCGTGTCGAGGAATGCCGGATATTTCAGCAGCGCTGGAGGAAACATCGACAACATCATCAGCACCATCATCGAATTCTGCGGCAACTCATGGGGGCCTCCCATACCGTCTTGTTAGCTCTTGCGAGTCGACAATGGTCGAGGCTTGGAAGCTACATCGACGCTAACTCGACGCTTCATCGGCGCTATCTCATCGATTATAAAGTGCTAGTCGATGCAGATGCACTCTGGAGACGGAATCTCAAGGCTCCCATGATTGGCCTCCGAAGAAGAAGAGGACCGCGATCGACTGGACGCGGAAACGTCGGTGCTGATCTTGGCTATCGTCCATTTTTAGGTGCACAAGAAGCGGCATAAACACAAGCTTTCGGATCCTGGTCATCGTCAATCTGTGGATCATCCTCGAGAATCGGCGTAAACAGGATTCCGCGACATCTCGGTCGTGGTCCTCGTGCTTCCGCCCGTAATCCTCGCCGCCCTCGCCGCCCTCGTCGCCGTCGAAGTCGTCGAAGCTGCGCTCGCCGCCCGAGCCGACGCGCAGCACTTCGAGGCGCTCTGGCCAGCCCGCGCAGGCTGCCGCCGTGGGCGCGTCGAGGTCGTTGCCGGAGAGGTCGAGGACCCGGAGGCGCATGCCAGACGCCAACAGCTCTGCCAGCGATCTGCTGGTCATCCTGTGCCCGCCCAGTCGCAACTCCGTCAGGCCGAGCCCCTCGCTCAGGGCCGAGGCCAGAGCCGCGCCGGACTCGTCCGTCAGCGCCCCGCCAGCAGCGGCAGAGAGGTCGAGGCTTGCCACCCTGCCGCCCATGCTCTTGCAGAGGAGGCGCACGGTGCCGTCTCGCAGCGCCCTGTTGTTGCCGATGCGGAGCCTCCTCAGCGTGGAGCAGCCGCGCAGGGCTGCCATGAAGTCGTCCTCAGAGGAACAACAGGCGGCCTGCTCCTCCTCCTCCTCCTCCTCCTCCTCCTCCTGCTCCTCGTCCTCCTCCTCCTCCCCTTCCTCCTCCTACTCCTCCTTCCCCTCTTTCTCCCCCTTCTCCTCCTCCTCCTCCTCCTCCTCCTCCTCCTCCTCCTCCTCCCACCTCACTACGTGAGAAGAGAAACCGCCCTGGCGCGCGGTGCGCGCCATGGGCGGCGCCGGAGGCGCGGCCAGGGAGGGCCAGCGCCGATCTCAGAAGTCCGCGCGGACCTCGGGAAGGTGATGCTACGGTGAGGGCATTGGGTGGGGAGCCATTCGATGAGGAGCCTAGGGCCTGGAGGCTGTGGAACCCCAATCGTGGACTGGCCACGGATGTCGCCGCCGCCCTCATCAGATAAGCAGCCCCCCACGGTGTGAAGCCTCCTGTGCACATTCCTTTCGAGGAGACGTGACTCGGGTTCGGGGGACTGGGGTTGGCCTGACGGGGCCGTCAGGAAAATGACGAGACCCAATCGTAAGTTTGACGCGAACTCCCGCTGCAAACATCCCACCAATTCTGGACCGTCAAAATCCAAGACGGGCTCGTCAAGAAGCGCCGGCGAACCCGAGTTCCGGCGAATTCGAGTCTTACAGTTTCCCTATCATTAAGAAACGCCCGATCCTTAAGGAACGCCCCCTTCGCACACCCCTGTTTAGAAATGACAGCAGTTCACGCTAAACAAATTACTTCATTGAAGGCGTTTTCTTAAACAGTAGTCCATGTCCAGATCTACGAAAACTCTTCAACAAAAAATAAGCTACAAGAAGATGCCCAAGGCCCAGTCCAGATTCTTGACTCTCTCAAGCGACATTTGGAGTCCATGGACAGTGCTGCATCTTATTACGACTTCTGATGGGCTTGTGCCGTTCTGTCGGCGGCGAGCAAAGGGGGGAAGTGAGAAGGAGAAGGCCTTCTCAGAAGGCGGCGGGACTTCTCAGAAGCCCCCGCGCCTTCAGATAAGTTTTCTGCGTATTCGGGGAGGGCTTCGAAAACTTCTCTCAGAAGGCCGGGGGACTCCCGAACCCTCTGAGAAGGCCTGCTCCTTCTCACTCCCTCCCCCCGCGCTCGCCGCCGACTCCTCTCAGGACTTCTGAGGGGTGTATGCCGCTCTTTTTCGACACGAAGCTGCCCTCCTCCAGGCGCAGGCAGCCCCAGAGCGACAGCTGGGCGAGGCGCCCGTGGCGCAGGATGGCGCCGAGAGGCCCTCCGAGCGGCACGGGCCGCAGCCCGGCCTCGGCGAGGGACAGGCACTCGAGCGGCTCCGCGGCGGCCGCGATCGCCGCGACGTCCCCCTCCCCGAGGGGGCAGTCCAAAACGGGGAGCGAAGTCATCATAGGACTTGCTCAAGATACCCGGACCCCCTCGGGCCATGAAAAGCCTTTCCACTAGTTTCGGCCCCTGGGGGGACCTTACTGGGCCGCAGGACCGTCAACAAAACGACTCAGGATGAAGAACCGGTCCCAAGGAATGGGTTGAGACCCCTGGGGGTCGACGTCATGAAATGATCGTGACGTCGGGGGTCTGGATACGTTTCAGGGTTACATCAGAAATTGTGGAAATCCTGGAAATCTTGGAGCGTATCATTCTCATGACCTGCTGCTCCTCCGACAATGGTTTTCCCACGCAAGACACCACGGGTGGCACGGCCATATCGCGCAGCAAAAAGTCGCCAGGCAAACCGGGAACTACGCACGGGCTGAGCTGCAATAAGCAAAGTCATTCAATGAGCCGTGGCCTCAACAACAATCGGCGGCGAGTGAAGAGGGGAAGTGAGAACGAGAAGGCCTTCTCAGAAGGCGGCGGGACTTCTCAGAAGCCCTCGCGCCTTCGGAGAGGCCTTCTATATCTTCGGGGAAGGCTTCGAAAACTTCTCAGAAGGCGGGGGGACTTCTGAGCCTTCTGAGAAGGCCCGCCCCCTCTCACTTTCCCTCCCCCCCCGGCTCGCTGCCGAAACGACGACGGGAGGAAGGAGGACGAAGGAAGGAGGAGATATGCCTCCTCGAGGAAGCAGTTGTGCAGCACCAGGCTGCGGACACCGTGGCGGGCGACCAGCTCCGCAACCGCCCGCGCGCCCACCTGGGAGAAGAGAAACACGACACGAGCATAAGCTCTCGGAGCTCCGCGCGGATGTCTTGGATCGGCGCCCGGCCCTCGCCCTCCTGCCGGGGGAGGGGGGTCCACCGCTGATCCAGGAGATCCGCGCGGACGTGTTTATTGTCTGTTTGTCGTCGTTGCTGCTCTTGCTGTAACTGTTGCTGTGGTTGCTGTGTTTGTTGTGTTGGTGTGCTGCTGGTATTGTTGTTGCCATTGTTGCCGTTGTCGTTATCGTTGTCGTCGTCGTTGTTGTTTTTGTTGTTGTTGTTGCTGTTGCTGCCCGTTGTTGTTGCTGTTGTTGCTGTTGCTGCTGTTGTTGTTTATGATGCTGTTGCTATTGCTGTTGCTGCTGTAGCTGTTGCTGTAGGTATTGTTGCTGCTGCTGCTGCTGCTGCTGCTGTTGTTGTTGTTGTTGAACATTATTACTTCTAAAGAATAATTATTGTTGGGGCCCCTGGTGCGCGACCCCCCCGCCGCGCCTAGGCCGCAGCCACGTTTTCATCATTTTCGTGAGGAAGTCTCAGGCAAAACGGGTTGGTCCGGATCCGGTTGTGTTGTTACGATCGGTTTTCCCTTGCAAAAAATAAGCTAAAGTGGACATTTCTTGTTCTAACATAACCAAACTTCAAGAATCCCTTGCAAAAAATAAGGTAAAGTGGACATTCGCGCGCGCAAGACGAAATCCTTCCAAAACCTTAGTTTTCGTAGCGATTTTAACATAAAAACATCAAAAAACCAATGGTTTTTCAAAAAAATGTCAAAATTTCATCCCGCGCGCTCTTGCGGATTCGTAGGAAACCCAACACTTTTTAAACATTTCTGTCAAACGGGCTTTTGCGAGCAACTTTTTCGAACTTCTGCAACAACGGTTGCGCACCTGCCAGGGCCATCATCCCTGTCAAATAATACCATGCGGGACACATTCGTTTTTTCTTCGCGCGCGCACGCCGTCGTCGTCGGCCGCGGGGCCCTGAATAGTAGCCACGGTCGTCCGCATGCCACGAAGTGAAGTGTCCGAACGTCATAGGGCGGGAAGCTGGGTGTGGGTGGTGGCGAAGAGTCGTTTGGAAATTTGGTAGAGCTTGAACCGGCCCCCCCACAAAGTGGGGGTATTGCCCGCCTCCTATGAAAACCCTGGCACTGGTGAGAACGGAGTGTCCCCACGTGCTAGTAATTATTGAACATTATTAATTCTAAAGAATAATTATTGTTGGGGCCCCTGGTGCGCGCCCCCCCCGCCGCGCCTAGGCCGCAGCCACATTTTCATCATTTTCGTGAGGAAGTCTCAGGCAAAACGGGGTATACCAGATCCGGTTGTGTTGTTACGATCGGTTTTCCCTTGCAAAAAATAAGGCAAAGTGGACATTTCTTGTTCTAACATGACCAAACTTCAAGAATCCCTTGCAAAAAATGACACGAAGTGCACATTCGCGCGCGCAAGACGAAATCCTTCCAAAACCTTAGTCTTCGTAGCGATTTTCACATAAAAACATGAAAAACCCAATGGTTTTTCAAAAAAAGGGTTTCAAAAATTCACCCCGCGCGCTCTTGCGGATTTCTTAGGAAACCCAATACTTTTTCAACATTTCTGTCAAACGGGCTCTTGCGAGCAACTTTTTCACGTGCTTCGAACTTCTGCAACAAAGGTTGCGCGCCTGCCAGGGCCATCATCCCTGTCAAATAATACCATGTGGGACACATTCGTTTTTTCTTCGCGCGCGCACGCCGAAATCTTCAAAAATCATTGGGTTTCTTAGGAATTCTAGCACCGCGCAACATAAAATCATACGAATCGCACCGTAGGTTCTCGAAAAACATCTGTACGAATTTTCAAAATTACTACCCGCGCGCGCTGTCCGAATCCTTAAAAACCAATGGTTTTTCAACATTTATGTTATAGAGCTCGCGCGAGCTGTTTTCGCAAGCTCTTTCAACGGCGTTCGCGCGCCTGCCAGGGGCACAATCCCTTGTAAAAAATATCATGCGGGACACATGCGCGCGTCGTCGCGTCGTCGTTGTCGGCATGGTACCACAACAAGTCAGTGTGTCACCACGTCATCGAACAAAATCACTGATCACTGTCACATCCGTAGCCATCTCGGATCAAGGTATCGCCTGTGTTCTTGGATGGGTCATGGCTTTGTCGGCGAAAGCCCTTGACGAGCAGTATGGCCCAGAGCTGTCGCGGCCTCCCTTGGCCGACTGCGGCAGCCCGTTTTATTTGCATCAGGCGCTCGTTGCAAAGAGTATCCAGGTCAGTCACCAGGCGTGCAAGGTTTGGTGGGTCAAGTATCGGGTTGTGTCTGGCAAGGTCAGTATTTCTAGCGCCAAGGAGCTGGAGGAGCAGCACGGCTCTGCCATCCGCCATCTGGGCATCGAGTATAATACAGCTTTCAAATTATGTGGGGCGCTCCGACGGTTGGATCCACCACTGTATGTGTCAAATCCGGTCGCAACGGCGTGGCTACTGCAGTATTCTTCCAAAGAGACGCGATGAGCATGTATCGTCTCGCAACAACGGAAACAAGTCCTGTGGTATGCTGGCGCCACGCACGTGGTACCACTCAAAATAAGTGTCTTCGCTTGTGTGGTACAGAAACGGAAAAACGTCGGAAAACGGTACAGGTGTCCAGTGTTGGAACAGGGGGAAAAGTCGTATACTAAGCTAGCTTCCACAAAATGTTACCACAACAAGTCACTGTACCCATGCGCCAGTGTAGTAGCCAAGGTCGTCCGCAGGCCACGAAGTGAAGTGTCCGAACGTCATAGGGCGGGAAGCTGGGTGTGGGTGGTGGCGAAGAGTCGTTTGGAAATTGGTAGAGCTTGAACCGGCCCCCCCACAAAGTGGGGGTATTGCCCGCCTCCTATGAAAACCCTGGCACTGGTGAGAACGGAGTGTCCCCAGTCTTAAATGATTGTTGTTGTTGTTGTTGTTGTTGAACTCTCATTTCAGAAGAATCATTTTTGTTAATCCACCCGTCCAGTGCACATCGTTTTTTTCGATTGAAGTGCCCTTCCCGGGGCTCGCACCCTGCTTTTATCAGAGACAGTCTTGAGGATCAAACTGTGTCGTTGGCCCCCGGTTTACAACATCAGCGGCTCCCGCCTGAGATTTCCGCACAATTTAGCCCGTACCCCCGCTCCCGCCCAAAACTTCCTCGCATTTTATTCAGAAATCGCGCTCTCGCTTGGGACTTCCTTACAATATATTCAGGAATCGCTCTCCCGGCGCTCTGCAGTCGCGCTCTCGCTGGAAACTTGCTTGCAAATAGCGCCCTTGCGTTGGAACGTCTTGCAATTTACTCAAGCGCCGCGCTCCCGACACTCAGGCACCCAGGAGTCGCGCTCATGCTTAGGACTCCCTCACAGATTACCTAGAAATCGGGATTTCGCTGCCCTTCGTGGCCCCGTTGCAGCCCTTCGTGACCCCCTCGCTTTGTTTCGTGGCCCCGTTGCAGCCCTTCGTGGCCCCTTCGCTGCCCTTCGTGGCCCCGTCGCTGCCCTTCGCGGCCCCGTTGCAACCCTTCGTGGCCCCCTCGCTGCCCTTCGTGGCCCCGTTGTAGCCCTTCGTGGCCCCCTCGCTGCCCTTCGTGGCCCCATATTTGTATGGATTTCGTGGCCGCTGGTTCGCGCCCGTGGTGGTCCCATATGCATGCCCTTCGTGGCCCCGCTTTCGCCCTTCGTGGCCCCCTCGCTGCCCTTCGTGGCCCCGTTGCTGTCCTCAGTGGCCCCGTCCTTGCCCTCCGCGGTCCAGTATACGTATGCCCTTCGTGGCCCTTGCTAGTTCGCGCCCGTTGTGGCCCCATGTGCGTGCCCTTCGTGGCCCCGCTGTCGCTGTTTGTAGCCCCCTCACTGTCCTACGTGGCCCAGTTGCTACCCTCAGTGGCCCCATCGTTGTCTCCTGTGGCCCCGCATTATCTGCCCTTCGTGACCCCCGCTCGTTCGCGCGCTTCATGGCCCCATACGCATTCCCTTCGTGTCCCCGCTGTCACCCTTCGTGGCCTACTTCGTGTCCTTGTGGCCCTGCTGTCGTTCTCTCTCGCTCTCGCTTTCGCTCGTCGTCGTCGTCGTCGTCGTCGTCGCCGTCGCCGTCGCCGTCGCCGTCGCCGTCGCCGTCGTCGTCGTCGTCGTCGTCGTCGTCGTCGTCGTCGTCGTCGTGGTCGTGGTCGGTCCCCTGTCCGTCCCTTTTGGGGTCGGGTCGATGGTCCGCGGCCGCCCCGCCGATCAGCACTGCCGCTGGCCAAGCCGACGGTCCGAGGCCGACCCGCCGCTTGCCGGGGCCCGGCCTGCCGGGAAGAAAAATATACCCCCCAAAAGGGGCTCGATCGAAGACGAAGAGGGCGGGTATCGAGGGTTTGGGAAATTCGCGTTATTGGACACTCGAGCAGATAAGGGCGAACATTCTCAAAATGATTGTTGTTGAATTTTCATTTCTGGAGAATAATTATTGTTGAGCCCCTCCACCGGTGCATACTGTTTTTCTCAATCAAAGTGTGCCCCTCGACGCTCGCACCCTGTTTTTCGACAGGGAAAGTCTAAATGCTCAAACTCGGCCCCTGGCCCCCGGGTTACAACAACAACGGCTCCCGCCTGAGACTTCCTTACAATTTAGCCAGGACCCCCGCTCCCGCCCGAGACTTCCTCGCACTTTATTCAGGAATCGCGCTCTCGCTCGGGACTTCCTTACAAATTATTCAGGAATCGCTCTCCCTGCGTTCTGGAGTCGCGCTCTCGCTGGAGACTTGCTTGCAACTTACTGAAGATTGGCCTTGCGTTAGCATTTCTTGCAATTTGCCCAAGCGCCGCGCTCCCGACACCCAGGCACCCAGGAGTCGCGCCCGTTGTGGCCCCATGTGCATGCCCTTCGCGGCCCCGCTGTCTCCATTTGTCCCCCTCACTGTCCTACGTGGCCCAGTTGCTACCCTCAGTGGCCCCATAGTTGCCTTCGGTGGCCCCGCATTATCTGCACTTCGTGGCCCCCGCTCGTTCGCGCTCTTCGTGGCCCCATTCTCTTCGTGTCCCCGCTGTCGCCCTTCGTGGCCTACTTCGTGCCCTTCGTGGCCCTGCTGTCGTTCTCTCTCGCTCTCGCTTTCGCTCGTCGTCGTCGTCGTCGTCGTCGTCGTCGTCGTCGTGGTCGGTCCCCTGTCCGTCCCTCTTGGGGTCGGGTCAACGGTCCGCGGCCGCCCCGCCGATCAGCGCTGCCGCTAGCCAGGCCGACGGTCCGCGGCCGCCCCGCCGCTTGCCGGGGCCCGGCCTGCAGGGAAGAAAGGTACAACCCCCAAAAGGGGCTAACAGTCTTAAACATTGTTGTTGAACATTATTACTTCTACAGAATAATTATTGTTGGGGCCCCTGGTGCGCGGCCCCCTCGCCGCGCCTAGGCCGCAGCCATGTTTTCATCATTTTCGTGAAGAAGTCTCCGGCAAAACGGGTTGGTCCGGATCCGGTTGTTTTGTTACGGGCGGTTTTCCCTTGCAAAAAAAAGGCAAAGTGGACATTTCTTGTTCTAACATAACCAAACTTCAAGAATCCCTTGCAAAAATAAGGTAAAGTGGACATTCGCGCGCGCAAGACGAAATCCTTCCAAAACCTTAGTGTTCGTAGCGATTTTAACATAAAAACATCAAAAAACCAATGGTTTTTCAAAAAAAAAGTGTCAAAATTTCATCCCGCGCGCTCTTGCGGATTTGTAGGAAACCCAACACTTTTTAAACATTTCTGTCAAACGGGCTTTTGCGAGCAACTTTTTCACGTGCTTCGAACTTCTCCAACAACGGTTGCGCACCTGCCAGGGCCATCATCCCTGTCAAATAATACCATGCGGGACACATTCGTTTTTTCTTCGCGCGCGCACGCCGAAATCTTCAAAAACCATTGGGTTTCTTAGGAATTTTAGCACCGCGCAACATAAAATCATACGAATCGCTGTGCCCACGCGCCAGTGTAGTAGCCACGGTCGTCCGCAGGCCACGAAGTGAAGTGTCCGAACGTCATAGGGCGGGAAGCTGGGTGTGGGTGGTGGCGAAGAGTCGTTTGGAAATGTGGTAGAGCTTGAACCGGCCCCCCCACAAAGTGGGGGTATTGGCGGGCGTCGTATGAAAACCCTGGCACTGGTGAGAACGGAGTGTCCCCACGTGCTAGTAATTGTTGTTGTTGTTGTTGTTGTTGTTGTTGTTGTTGGTGTTGTTCTTGTTGTTGCTGTTGTTGTTGTTGTTGGTGGTGGTGGTGGTGGTGGTGGTGGTGGTGGTGGTGGTGGTGTGTGTGTGTGTGTGTTTTGCTTTGCTTCGTTTACCGCTTATTTCCACTTTTCCTCAACAGTTTGTGCTGATGCATTTTTTCTTAGACCACCCCCTCAAACATGCACTCGGAGATCAACAGGGAGCGGAGCTCGTTGAAGGGGCGCCCGGCGAGCTCCCGGAACAACGACCAGCCGAGGTTGCACGCGAGCAGCACACGGATGCCCTCGCAGAGGAGCCAAATGATGGCGCACACACGCACGCACTAAGATTTCGTAGCCCTCCAGATCGATCCAGCTCGGGAAAGTAACAACAATCTACATCGAATCGGGAAATCTGATCGAGTCGGAACGTGCATCGAATCAGGCTGTATCGGCACGGAATCGAAATCGAATCGAGTCGCCCGCGCTGGGATGCACAACAGCGCCATGTAAGCATCGGGCCGCAGTCGGATCGCCGAGGTATCAACATCGAATCGGATCGGGCCGGTCGGAATCGGCATCGAACCGGATCGATCGGATCGAAGTCGACCCTGGGAAGGTGCCGCCGAAGCCTCACGAGAGGCGGCGCACCCGCAGAGCTCCAGCGCCCCCCCTGCACGTGCGCCCTCACGGTCCATAGGTGCGACCTGGCCTGGACCGCTATACTGTAGGAGGAGTAGAGGGCAGAACATCCACCGTCATAATTTCTCGAAGCCGTTCCATAAACGCACCCAAAGAAGGAATCGAACAGGGCAGGGCTGCTCAATAAACGGCCAGGGCCTTTCAGTAAACGCCAGTGATCCGGTCTGGGTGGATCTTCCTCCCTTGGAGGAGGGTCTGGGAATCCCGCGGGACTCTGACCCTCACTGCACGCGGTGTGTTCCCCCCTGCTCCGAGGAGCAGGGCATGGCAGGACCATCAGCTGTCGGAGCTCCGCGCCAGCGCCGATCCGAGAAATCGGCGCGGAGCTCCGCAAGCTTGTGCTTCGGCCGCTTCTTCTCCCTCGACCTCGGCGGCGACGGCCGAGAGGATGCCTGCCGAGGGGCTCAAACATACAGATGCCGCCACTCCCTGGACCTCTGCTGGGGTGCGCTCTGACGAGGATGTCGTGGCGAACCCAGATGTGGCGACGAGGGCCTCCCAGGAGGCCCACGAGGGCGAAGACGAGGCAAGGGCAGCGGCAGCGGTACCGTGCCCAGACATCCAGCGCTCCAAATTCTTCGATGCGTGGGTCTCTGGGGTCTGGACGACTTCTCCGAGACCGGTTTTTCGTCACCAATCGTTTTTTTTGACTGTCCCAGGGCCCGTTGAAAGCCCCCCCCAATGGCCGAACATGGCTAAAAACCGGCCGCTTCACTTTTTTCGGGGCCTCTCGGGATCTCTCGGTGTTCGGCGGTGGATAAACCTCCCTTTAGCAAACCACCCTTCAGCGAAAACGGCCTAGGACCGAAACGTACGGACCTAGACCCACAGAAATGACGGCCGCGACGCCCTCTCGCGGACCGGAAACGGCCAACTCGCTCATCGACGTGTCAGGGTAGGAGGTCTATCCACCCCCAGGGTGTCCTCCTCGGAGTGCCTGCCGGGTGGTAGCGCTGGTCGCCGTCCAAGACGAGGCAGCTGAAGTGCCAGAGGCTGCCGTGGCGCAGCGCCGCCGCGCAGGCCCGGCAGGCGAGGGCGAGGCGGAGCGCCGAGCCCTGCGCGAGCAGCTCCCCGACGCTGCGCAGGTGGGCCGCGGAGAGCTGCAGCAGGCGCATGCGCACAGGCTGGGATCGAGCCGAAGCCAGGACCCTGGGCGGCCCAGAAAGGGGTCCAGCTGCAAGGGGGTGGTGCAGCAGATTTGGTGCAATTGTCTTGCAAGTGTATGGCGCCAGAGGATTGTATTGCATCGTATTGCAAGTAATGTGCTGCACGCGACAATTCCGCAATACATTTGCGCCCCGGAATGTATTGCACGCCCCAAATGTTTTGCAACCCCACAAATCTACTGCACCACCCCCTTGTCGCTGGACCCCCTTTTGGGTCAACTCGAGAGGAGGACAAAAAGGACAGGACACGACAGGACGCCGATCATCGTCCCCGAGGACGGCCCTATGAGAGCACGGCGGTGGCGCCCACTACAAGGAGGGGAACCATACTAAGCCCGTGCAGTAAAAGCATGCGCCCAGGCTGGGATTGGGCCGGAGTCCGGGCGAGGGAGCGAGAAGGACGGGGGGGAGTACACCCTGCGAAATGCTTAAGAAATCATGGGTTAAGAAATTCATAGTCTCAGAAATTTAATAAAACCCAGAACTTCTATCAAAATCTTGGGATTTACATTGAAACGTTAAGAATAATCGAGACTCTGGACGAAAACTTGGGTTTTCTTAAGCATCGCCTAAGGTGTATAGCAAAGGCCGCTTGCGGGATCCATCCCCCGCACTCACACCTAGGGGGTGGGGGCGGTTGGTCGCAGCCCGCACGGCCCGCCGCCGCGCGATGGCGGCTCGGTGGCCGTGGGCGCGCACAATCCACGACGAGAAGGGCTACTAGACCACATCCGGCCGCTGGAGGCCGAGCGCAGCGAGGGAGCGAGGGAGGACGAGGAACGAGGAGGAGGACGAGGGGGAGTGCGAACGCGGAGGAGAACGAGGAGGAGAACGAGGAGGAGGACGAGGAGGAGGACGAGGAGGAGGACGAGGAGGAGGAGGACGAGGACGAGGAGAGAGGGAGCCGAAGCCAGGACGAGGGAACGAGGAGGACGAGGGGGAGTGCGACAGCGTTGTGCCGCGACTGCCCTGGTGTTGGTTTCTGACACCGCGCGGATCGTTCAGCCTTGGAAGATCGGCGGCTGCTCGATCGCCAAGTCATTCTATATTGGCCGATCTGGGCCACAGGCGGCCGTCAACCTTGCACCCAGCAGGGTCGCTGCCGCGTCGGCACGACACGAGCCTACGATATGAGAGGAACGCCCGGGGGGCGATGAGGCCGGGCAATGCGTGGCAATACTTCCGCCTCTTGCGCTGGGGCCGCTTGCGCCCAAATGGTAGCTGCGGACACGCGCCGCATGCGCGCCCTCCAGTGGCTACGGACACGCGCCCTCCCGCGCGGGGGCGCGCGAATGCAGGCGCGAAGTGCAAGCGTGGTGCCGGTGGACCTGGCGGAGTCGCCTGTGCGAAACAATGGGGCGGGGCAAGGGGAGGGGACCTGGCCGAAGGACGGGGGGAATGGGAGCAAAGGTAACAGCACGGCAGCGAGCAGTACACCCCCAAACAGTGCTTGCACTTAGAAGTTCTTACTTCTCTTCTAAGGAAGTGGGCCTGACGGGCGGTCTGGCGGCTCCGTGCTCGCCGTCGCCGCCCCGTCGCCGCCCGTCGTCTGGGCCTGAGAGTCGGCCTGGCGGCTCTGTGCTCGCCGTCGCCGCCCTGTCGTCGCCGTCGCCGCCCCGTCGCCGCCTCGCATATGTTCTCTTTTCTAGAAAGGGATTCGGATCTCCCCCCCCCCCCTTCGGGGGTATCCGTCCCCCTGGGGATGCTCAATTTATGGAATCTTCTGCCCCATCGTTCATTTTCCAAAAGGAATCATACCATCCCAGCGAAACTGGGTTTGGAGGTGTGTGATTCGGTAAAGATAACCCACATCGGGACGGAACTGTGCCAAGGTGTTGGGGCCAGGGGAGCCGGGTAAAGAGAACACGAAGTCGGGACATAATGTTGTCAAGGTACCGGTGCCACGGTAGCCGCAGGTGTGCAGTGTTGTAAAGGGAGCACAAATTCGGGACATAATTGCGTCAAGGTAGCGTGGGCAAAGTAGCCAGGGGGTTGTGGTGTTGTGGACATCATGGTTTCAAGGTAGCAGGGCCATGGGAGCCGAGTGGGTTGCGGTTGTTTAAAACAACACAAGGTCGGGACATCATTGTGTCATGGTCATGGGGGGTAAAAGTCTGGGCGACCCAAAAGGGGGTCCAGCTGCAAGGGGGTGGTGCAATAGATTTGGGGCAACTGTATTGCAAACGTATTGCGCCAGAGAATTGTATTGCATTGTATTGCAACTAATGTATTGCACGCGAAAATCCAGCAATACATTTGCGCCCCGGAATGTATTGCACGCCCCAAATGTACTGCAACCCCACAAATCTAGTGCAACAAATCTATTGCACCACCCTCTTGTCGCTGGACCCAATTTTGGGTCAACCCGAAAGAAGGGGCCAAGCCGCGTTGTGGAACTGGATTTTTTTCAGGTTTTGTCGGGTTCCGGCCACAACACTAAAAACAACACTGCCACAACCGCCAACAAACATAATTGTTTTGGGTCGTGAAGGGCTGTCCTGATGTTGTCATCATCATCATTATTATCATCATTGTTATTCTTGCTTTTATTATCCTTGCTATTATGGTTATTATTGTTGTTGTTATTATTCTTACTATTGTTATAGTTTTATTCTTATTGTCATTATTATTACTATTACTATTATTACTATTCTTATTACTATTATTGTTATTGTTATTACTATTATTACTATTAAAACTAACATTAATATTATGAATACTTGTTTTTATGTGTTCAAACATATCAGTTTAACACATATGCATATATATATATATATATATATATATATATATAAAATGTATAATCGGGGGGCTGTTCTTTTCTGGGTTGAGGGGCCGCACGGGGTTCCAGCGGACGAGAACGATGTCCTGCAAGTGCCAAATACCTCACGGGCGCCATAGGTCTTCATGACGCCCCCAGTTGCCATAGGTCCCATAGGTAGCGCCAGTCTTGCAAGTGCCCGTTGGTCCTGGTGGGCCCTGAGGCCCGGGTTCCATCCATGGGGATCTCCCCAAAAATTCCAGGGCGGCAGCTGCCACGTGGCGTTTCACTGCCCATGTCGCCACTTCCCTCGCGCGTTTTGCGGCTCATGGGGGCTTGCACCTACGACCCTCGTGACGCCACGAACGCGCATGGCGTTGCCTCGGACGCGTGTAGGCATTCCCCGCGTACGTTTCGTGACCGCGCTGGGACCTTGCCGAACATCGACGATGCATTATCCTGGAATGCCACGCCCGACTTGCCCTCGAGTTCCCGCTCGCTCGACGCAGCCCGCCTGTTCAGAACCACCGGCCCGCCCCATCCTTTTCTGCCCCTCAGGATGTTCGCGCGCCCCGCCCGAGCAGCTTGGCCCGCCCGATGATGTCCGCCCGTCTGCTTCACCCGACCCGCCTGGCCGGGCTCGCCCGCGCGACCGACCCAGCCGGATCGCCCGCGAGGGCCCGCTCGTCCGCTCGACCCGACTTGCTTGTCAAGGCATTCGCGTGCAAACTGGATGACGCATCGTGCTCTCGTGTCCCGCACGCCCGACGAGATCCGTTCTTTCGAGACTGCCCGCCCGAGCGCGCCCGCCCGTCGGGGCTGCCCGCGCGCCTGGCCCGGCCCGCCCGCTGGGGTGTTTGCGCGCCAACTGGACACTGCGTTCTGCTTTCCTGTCCAGGAAGGCCCGAGGCGGCAACAACCATTGATTTCCTTTGGATTTGCTTCTTTTCGGTTTTCCGACGGTTCAAGAAGCCCTACATATCGCCTTAAGATAGCCCAAGAGGCCTTCAAGATGCCCCCGTGGCGGCTCAAAAGGCCGCCAAGACGGCCCCAAGCCCCACGACGGCCCCAGAGGCCTCCAAGACGTCCAAGATGGCCTCCGAGACGGCCCTGAAACACCCCAAGAGGGTCACATGTCGGTTCAGAGAGGCCCCCAAGCCGCCTTCCAACGGCGTCTTGCGGGTTAGGAACGCCCTAAGACGGCCAAAGAAGCCCCCGAGAAGCTTCTCAAGGACCCTCAAAGGCCCAAGTAGGACCCCAAGAGGCCTCCAAGAGGCCTCCAGGAAGCTCCCAGGAGGCCCTCAGAGTGCTCAAAGTGGCTCCCAAGAGGCCTCCTCCTCCTTCTTCTCCTCCTCCTCCGTCTTGTCCTCCTGTGGCTCAAGCCATCTGGCTCAAAGCTCCTGCGCATCTTGGCCACTTGAAGCCATCGTGGCCCGCCCCATTCGCTCCATACGGAAGAGGCATGTCCACACTTCGCTGCTTGAACTCTCCCGGCGCCCACCGGCTTCCTCCATGCGATCATGCTGCACGGCTCCGTCAAGGCCTACCTGTGCTGCAACGTCGCGTTCCTGCAGATCATGAAGAAGTCGAACGTCGTGCTCGTCTTCACCTCCGACGCGCTGCCAGGCCACAGCGCCCCAACCACCAGTGCGTCTTCGTGATCGCTTGGGTCATCAATGGCTTTTCACCCTGCGCTCACAAGGATCTCAACTCCGAGTTCCTCGGCCCCGTGCTGCAGGGCAAATCCCAGGTGGCCGTCTTTGCAAAAGCCGTCGTTGCCGCGCCCACGGCCATGAGCAGCAACTTCAAGCTGGACCCGTTCAGCTACACCTTCCTCGTGGCCCCTGTGTGCTTCGTGAGCCCAGGCACTGGCAACACCATCACGTGGCGCAGCGCTGCCACTGCGAGCACGTCAAGTTCTCCTTCGGCAATCTCGAGTTTCGTTCCGCGGTGGGCCCGATGCGTTCGTAGCGGGCGGGCATCCCACCGCGGGCTGGCGGGCCCGATGCGTTCGCCGACATCAGAGGCGAGCATCCCGCTAGCGTTCGATATCATAATCAAACCTGGTTGCGAGTTCTTGCCAGTCCGCTTGAAGCTCAAGCTGAGCGGCCAGGAGTTCACCGAGAAGGGCATCTTTCAAGAGTGGCCCGCCGTGCCAGGACGCTGTCCCTGGTAGACGGTGGGATGAGGTCCTGTGGGATCGCTCAGAAGCCTCGCCGTGCCAGGACGCAGTCCCTGGTAAACGGTGAGATGAGGTCCTGCGGGATCGCTCGAAGCCTCGCCGTGCCAGGATGCAGTCCCTGGTAGACGGTGGGATGAGGTGCCGCAAGGGCATCGCCTCACAAAGTGTCTCTTTCTATACAGCATGGTTCAGAGATACCGAGCACTGTTTTTCCCTTTCTGCCAGCCCCCGAGGCGGCTGGCCAGCAGAAACAGTTGTGCAATATGCCTTGTGTTGCAATGTCTCAGGAATAAGCAAAGTGCCGATAGTGCGGCACAATAATGTTTCTAAATTTCTGGAGCGAGGCAGAGGTCCCGCGAATTGGTGCATTGCCCTGTTGAAGCGGAGAGGTCCGCGGGATTAGTCTTCCCTGCTCTCCTTGTGTTGCTTTTCACACTTTTCGGCAATGCGAAGTGTATCCTGAGCCTGTACTGCTAAGGGAAACCCTGTCTGCAACACCTTTCGTTTGGCATCAATTTACTCCAGATGCAAGTAAAGCCAGTCGGATTCCACTCACTGCTTGCCAAGATGGCGCGTGGGCCACTTTCGCCTAAGCCGAAAGGTCGATGGCCCTCGCGTGCTGCCTGGAGTCCCCACCCCTCCACAGGAGGCGGCTCTTTCTTGCGGCGCGCACCCTATCTCCCAACCACGCGCTGATCCTTCTTGTCCTCCTCCTCCTCCTCCTCTTCGGTTTTCCTCCCACTCCTCATGCTCCTCTTCCTTCCTCCACGTATTTCCCGAAGGGTTTTCCACAACGACTGAGGGAACGTATGGTCCAACAGCGTGCCCAAACTTTGCCCAAACGTTTGGCTACATAGGCGCACCCCAAAAGGCAGGGGGCGGCGGTGATTCGCCGTAGGCGGCTTCGATCAGCCGCCCCTCGTGATTTATCCAGGAGCTGGCTGGGCTGCCAAATTGGTAAAGCTGTTTGACATTTCCCAAAACTCCCATGGCCTTTCGGGCCGCCTCGCTGGCCCCACGGAGAGCTCCATGCGCAGACTGCCCGGATCCAAGACGGCCAAGACGGCTTCGGAAACGGCCCAGGATGGTCCAAGATGACCTCCAAGACGTTCCCAAGACGACAGAGATGGCCCCAAGAGGGCGCCAAGAGGGTCCAAGAGGCTCCTCGAATATCTCTTGGGCCGTCTTGGGGGCCATGGGGGGTCGGCCCAGGAGGCCGATATCATTGATCAACCCGTGGTTTTCCAACGTTCTTCGGGTTTTCGCCATTTAGTTCTTTCAGTAGTGGCAGCTCAAGATGGCCCGAATAAACACCAAGAGTACCCCAATACGGCCCAAGAGAGCCCCCAAGTCCCTAAAACGACCCTAAATGG